ACTGGATTGGTGTCACTGGGGATGTCAGTGACAACTAGTCCCCACCCCCCCCAGTGTCAGAATGTCCGCCGAAGTCCCGCTAAAAAAGTCACTGATCACTGCCATTACTAGTAGAAAAAAAAAATCCCAGTAAATATACCATCATTTGTAGGTGCTATAACTTTCACGTAAACCAATTAATTTACACATAATTGGATTTTTTTTTTTAGCAAAGACATGTAGCAGAATACATTTTGGCCTAAATGTATGACGAAATTAGATTTTTTTAAATTTTTACTGGACATGTTTAATAGCAGAAAGTCCAAAATATTATTTTTTTCTCAAAATTGTCAGTCTTTTTTTTTTTTTTATAGCGCAACAAATAAAAAATGCACAGGCGATCAAATACCACCGAAAGAAAGCTCCATTTGTGGGGAAAAAAAAGGACGTAAATTTCATTTGGGTGCAGCGTTGCATGATTGTCAGTTTGCACAATTGTCAGTTAAAGTAACGCCGCACTGCAACGCAAAAAAAAAATGGCCTGGTCAGGAAAGGGGGGGGGGGGGGGGGGGAGAATCCTCAGGAGGGCGAGGGGTTAAAGTCAGCTTCTACAAAACAGGAATGGATTCATTATGATTTATGTAATAATGCTATAAAGGGCGGTTTGGGGTTACGCATATGGAGGCAATGTACTGAATATATCTGAACCTGCTGGATACCAATATGGATTTGATTTTCATTTGTAATTTGTTTTGTATTTTATTAACAGCTATTTTGAAATGTATATTTTAATATATACTGTTGTACATGAGGTTATATTGATACAGAGGCTTCAAATTCCTATTGATACAGAGGCTTCAAATTCCTATTGATATAGCAGCCTCAAATTCCTGTTTTCCTGATGTAAAGTCTTTGTCCATTAGATCCATTTCAGACATTATGCTTTCAATTAGAACTAGAGGCAAAATCTTTTTTTTTTCATTTTGGATAGAGCAAGAGACGGTTATAACCCCTGTCAGATTTTTTTCGCCATCTGTGTCCCATTAGGGAGACTTCCCTTCACTTCCTTCCTATAGCCAAACAGGAAGTGAGAGAAAAATCCTAGAACATTAAAGAGAATCCCTTGGGGACCCCCTTGTCACCAGAACTAGTGTCCTCATTGGAAGATTTCCCCTCTATTCCTTTTCTAGGGACAACCCAAAATTTCGGATTTACTTTTACTTTCACTTTTAATGATAATGGTGAACAAGACAAATAGAGGGAAAATCTCCCTAAGGGGTCATGTACACTGCAGCTGCTCAACTGAAGTTTCGGAGCAGTTGTGCGTTTTTTTCAGCAGCCCTGAACTCTCCTTTATGTTTTCTATGTGTCCATTTACACAGTCCTTTACAGTCGTTTACGTTACAGGCATTTTTTTGAAAGCACAAAAATCGCTTTCAGGAGTAGAGTTTACCGGCGTTTCAAACACCAAACGCTTGTAACCGCAAGTAAATGCGTTTGCGTTTAGATGCATTTTTGGGCTGGTCCATATCCAGATGCTGACCAGAGCCTTTTTTTCTTCATCAAAAATGCATGCACTGTGCTTTCCATGTATTCAAATGGACCCGGTACACCAGCGCAGTCAGTTCCAGGTTTTGCGTGAAGGAAACAATGGTAGAACGCGCCGCATTATACTCATGATGGGATCCATAGTGAATACAACCAGAAAAGACAGGACATCTCAACACATACTGCTCTCTCTCTGCTTCTGCTCTCTCTATTCCTCTCAAAATGTCTGAAATAGTTAATTATTTATTTATTTATTATTTTTTTAGTGCATTCTGGGCATTTGGGAGGGTCTACTGAGGTTATCTTTTAACCACCTCCCGCCCGCCATATAGTCCAATGACGGGCGCAAGGTGGTTCTCTCGTTCTGATAGGACGTCATATGACGTCCTTCCATTCTCACTCAGGGAGCGCGCAGAGCGGCAATCGGTGATGCGCTGTGTCCCTCGGAAACAGCGGATCCCCGATCCACGGAAAGAGCCGAAGATGTCGGCTCGGTCATGTGATCAGCTGTGTCCAATCACAGCTGATCACATGTAAACAGGGAAATGCCGGTTATCGGCATTTCTCTGCTCTCGAGCGGTCACGCTGACAGAGGAGAGGAGAGCCGGTAATCGGCATTCCGCGGAAGGGACATGTACACTGATCATCAGGGCACTGATGATCAGTGTGCCCTGATGATCAGTGTGGCCCCAGAAGTACCACCTGTCAGTGTCCATCAGTGTCAGCTGTCAGTGCTGAACAGTGCCACCTGCCAGTGCCCATCAGTGCCACATATCGGTGCCTACCAGTGCACATCAGTGCCACATATCAGTGCCCATCTGAGCTGCCTTTCAGTGTCACCCATCAGTGCCAGTCAGTTCCACCTATCAATGACAACAGTGCCACCTATCAGTGCTGCCAACCAGTGCCACCTATCAGTGCCAGTCAGTGCCGCCTATCAGTGCGCATCAGTGCCGCCTATCAGTGTCACCTATCAGTGCCGCATATCAGTGCTGCCTTTCAGTGCCCATCAGTAATGCCTGTCAATGCCCATCAGTGCCTCCTCATCAGTGCCACCTTATCAGTGGCCATCACTGCAGCCTCATTAGCGCACATCAGTGAAGGAGAAAAATCACTTATTTACAAAACTGTATAACAAAAACTAAGAAAAAAACTTTTTTTTTTTTCAAAATTTTCTCTGGTTTTGGGTTTAAGAAAAAAATAAAAAAACCCCGAGGTGATTAAATACCACCAAAATAAAGCTCTGTCACAAAAAAAATGATATAAATTTCATATGGGTACAGTGTTGTATGACCGCGCAATTGTCAAAGTGTGACAGTGCTGAAAGCTGGAAATTGGCCTGGGCAGGAAGGGGTACAAGTGCCCCGTAGGCTAGTGGTAAAAACACATTTAAACGCAAACACAGCTAAACTGACGTTTTTAACCTACGTTTTCTAGCAGTCAGTTTCCAGCGGTCAGGAAAGTTTTTCAAATGCCCCGTGTACATGAGCCCTTACAGGGACACAGACAGGAATAAAAACTAACAAGTGTTCTAATCCCTCTCCACTTTATCCAAAACTAAAAAAAAAATTAAAAAAAAAAAAAAAAATGTGCTCCTTGCTGTGAAGGCCAGTTATAGATTGGGGCAGTGACCGGTTTTTGTACTGTTGAATTGCTGGTCGAGAGGGTGCACTGGACAACCTGGCTGCCATTGTGCTATATGCTGGGTGTCCAGTGCACTCCTATACCTTTAAGGAGGGGTGGGCTCCCTCAGATTCACCTGCCCTTGGTCTATCCATTAAATACATGTGCCTCTACTATGGGGGCTCTTAAATTTGGAGAGTTAGGAACTACAGAATATCGGGGGGGTGCCGTGACGAGGCTCTGCAGCTTACGCATGTATTTGTAAATGTGTGCAAACCAAACCCCTGTTTTTAATGCATACTGTTAGACAGGTTAATTCGGTTTGTTTGCAGGCTGGCTGGCAAGTTAGAGCCGGGAATTTTTCTCTTTTGTTGTTTGACATGCGTCGCCCGTTAATGAGCTCCTTGCTGTGAAGGCCAGTTATAGACTGGGGCAGTGACCGTTTTTTGTACGTCATTTTTTTTTTGCATTGTCCCTATGACACCAGGACAAGCAGTTTTATATTAGAATGTTAATGGGGGGGGGGGGGGGGGGGGGGGGGGGGGTGGGGGGTGGGGGGGGAACCAGAGAAGGCCAAAAAACATACTGTAAGCAGATTACCCCCCTTTACAGCTGCCCAACACATTTATTTATTTCAGGTACTTATTTGGCGCCGTCAATTTAATTTATGTAGCACTTTACACCCACACACACACACACTTTACATACACATCAGTCCCTAACCCTCAAGGGGTGTACAATTTAAGGTCCCTAACTCACATTCATACATACACATACTAGGGACAATTTACACAGGAGCCAATTAACCTACCAGCATGTCTTTGGAGTGTAGGAGGAAACCGGAGTACCCGGAGTAAATCCACACAGGCACAGGGAGAACATGCAAACTCCAGGCAGGTGATGCTGTGGCTGGGATTCGAACCAATGACCCTAGTACTGCCAGGTGGAAGTGCTAACCATTTAGCCGCTGTGTTGCCCCGCATATGTGCAGCTGCAAAAGGGTGGGCTTTAACGCCCACATGCTACTGGGGGGCCATTGTTTACATGCTGAGAACATGCTCACTGCACAAAGACCAAGCTGTCTCACACAGCTCTCTGATCAGTAGTTGGCAAGACCAGCCTTCAATCATGTGACCACTGTCATCGTGGTCACATGATCGCTGATCCTTTCTGCCAACTCCCCCCCCCCAGTGATCCAAATTATTTGCTGGGGTGGGCAGAAAGGGTTAAACTTCAGCTGTAAGAAATGCACACTGCTGAGCAATGTATAGCACCTTGATCTTGTGTTTCTGCCATACCACGATCAATAATTATGGTCAATCTATAGAATTGTATTTTGCGTTCCAGGTCCCGCCCCCAAAAGTCATATATTATTATTATTATACAGGATTTATATATATTATTATTATTATTTTATATATTATTATTATTATTATACAGGATTTATATATTATTATTATACAGGATATTATACAGGATTTATATATTATTATTATTATACAGGATTTATTATTATTATTATACAGGATTATTTATATATTATTATTTATACATTATTATTATTATACAGGATTTATATATTATTATTATTATTATTATACAGGATTTATATATTATTATTATTATACAGGATTTATATATTATTATTATTATTATTATTATATTATACAGGATTTATATATTATTATTATTATTATTATACAGGATTCATATAGCACCAACAGTTAGCTCAGCGCTTTACAATATAAAAGGAGACAATACAGTAACAATACAGTTCAATATAAGAGGGATAGGAGGGCCCTGATCCTGGGAGCTTGCAATCTAAGAGATAAAACCACATCCAATCTTACCATGACAGGCAATCCTTCAGGGCGGTATAGTAGGGATATTTGGATATGACACAAAGGGCGAAGGTAGTGTAGGCATCATACGTCTTGGTGTGATTGGAAGACGAATCCCAGTATGCCTGTCCATTGGACAACCCCAGCGTATCCTAAAGAGGCAAAGAAGGCTCCCAGTTACTGCAAAGTAGAAGAGTACTGCTTCAGCTTCAATACGGGGCTGGCAGCCATGCTTTGTGGGCAGGTATCATATGTTCTAGGTCACAGATGTCGCTCTACATTCTTCATACAGGGCAGGATCTGCACTTTTACTAACAGCTGTCCAGAGCTTCTATGACACATCTATGTGATATGTGACAGAACTTGACAGATGACAAACAGGGCAGCGTTGTCCACCCCGTTGAGGGTGCACCAAATGTGGTGGATTTGCGAAGACTCTGCTACAGTCCTGGGCTACTCAACTACCAGGGGCGGACTGACAACTCATGGGGCCCCCGGGCAATAGCGGATCATGGGGCCCCTGTGTCCTTGCCCAAACTAAAGGCTATAAAAAAGGTACCAGGGGTATCTCATGGGGCCACCTACTGACCCCGGGCCCTCGGGCAGTGCATGAGACTCCAAATGGTCAGTCCGCCCCTGTCAACTACTAATGATGACATTCGTTTGGCAAAACAATCTGTGTGGTTACTATCGCACAATTTGGTGATTTCATTTAAATTATGCATGACAGAAACAAAGGACTCCAATCAGCAAAGCTCATGCTCTGTTCTGATTGGTGAGCTATAGCCAGGCATGTTGGACCTCTGGAAGCAGTGGTCTCTCTGCAAACCGAGAACAAAGCTCCTTCGCTACAGCATGCTGCAGGGAACAAGCTATTGTATTACCTTGACAAACCGCCAATTGGGTGGTTCCGTCAGAGAACTGCTTTCTCACCACACTGGGACCCAGGAACAAGCTCTGGCTGCTTTCTAAAAGCAATGGACTGGAAGGGAAGCCATAGATTAGATTTCTTTCTTTATTTCCACCACAGGTGGAATGAAAGAAATGTGATGTCCATGTATAATACATAAGGGGGGATATGATCTCCATGTATAATACATAAGGGGGGATATGATCTCCATGTATAATACATAAGGGGGGACATGATCTCCATGTATAATACATAAGGGGGGACATGATCTCCATGTATAATACATAAGGGGGGACATGATCTCCATGTATAATACATAAGGGGGGATATGATCACCATGTATAATACATAAGGGGGGATATGATCTCCATGTATAATACATAAGGGGGGATATGATCTCCATGTATAATACATAAGGGGGGATATGATCTCCATGTATAATACATAAGGGGGGACATGATCTCCATGTATAATACATAAGGGGGGATATGATCTCCATGTATAATACATAAGGGGGATATGATCTCCATTGACTCCTGCTGTTTTCCTCCTGGGTAAATGCACCTCTCCTACCTCCACTCCTAACTCAAAATCGCTTTCACTCCTGTTATATTCAGAACAAATGGTGTATTTATATTTGTGTGTATGTTGAGCAGTCCTCACCTCCAGTTGCACCCAGTTTACGACTGTAGCCTGGTTCCTATGAGACATCCCCCACTATTCATGTGAGCCTTATCAGCTTCTAATTGGGGTGGAGTTGAATGCTCATTTGAGCATCTCCCTATAAATTCAGATCAGCTCATGGGGGAGATCTCTGATGGGGGGCACAGTCTCTGATGGGGGTGCTGCTTCTGATGGAGTGCGAAGCAGTTAAACACAGCAGTTGAACTAAAGCAGGAGAAAGACACAACAGCAAGAAACTCTACTGCATGCTGGACAGACTGCAAGCAAACACCCTGGGAAACATCTCTTACATGCCTGACTCCCACTCTGTGTACCTTTATATAATACACTCCTCTTCATACTACTATCCTCTGTTCCCAAATCTCATTTCTTTACCCCTCTGCTCCACCCCAAAACTTGCACATCTCCCCCTCATTGCTATCATCTCCCTACTACTGCTCTCATCACCCCCCAAAATGCCTCTTCTACTCCTTCTCATTTTCCTCTCCTCCATTCCCAAAATCCATTCACTATATCCCTCTGCTCCTCCTAAACATTTGTATATTGTGTCCTCACTGCTTCCTTCGCCCCTCTATGGCACCCACCACCTCCTCCTATTACTCCACTCTCCCACTGACCCGAACACCTCCACTAGTAGTTTCTCACGCTCCTGCACATCCCGCTCCCATGCCACCTTTCTCACCCTTCTCCTCCTCCTAGCCGCGGGAGAAATCTCCCCGAATCCTGGCCCTCCACCACCTCCCCCCTCACCCGCACAACACCCTCCCGCCTCCATGTCCTACCGCAACCCCCGCAACCTAGTATCTGTCCCCCTGCTTCCCTAAAATCTCCCCCCTGTTTTCATGTGCACTCCTGAACGCCCGATCGGTGTGCAACAAGCTTACCGCCATCCACGACCTCTTTGTTTCCCGCTCCCTCAACCTCCTGGCGATCACGGAAACCTGGATCCAGCCCACTGACTCTACCTCCCCCCTGCTGCACTCTCCTATGGAGGTCTCACCTGGACCCACTCACCCAGGCCCAACGGTCGTAAAGGTGGTGGGGTTGGTCTGCTCCTGTCACCGCAGAGCACCTTCCGAGTCCTCCCAAATCCCCCTTCCTATCCTTCTCCTCCTTCGAGGCCCACTGCGTCCGACTATTCTCCCCAACCCCCCTGAAGATTGCTGTGATATACCGGCCTCCTGGATCCATACCCCGCTTCCTGGAAGACTTCTCCTCCTGGCTACCCTTCTTCCTCTCCTCTGAGCTACCCACCATCATTCTTGGGGATTTCAACATCCCTGTCAACCTTGACAACCCGGACACAGCCCGTCTCCTCCACCTAACCTCCTCCTTTGCACTTGCACAGTGCATACAATCCACCACCCACTCCGACGGTAATATCCTTGATCTTGTCTTCTCCAACCGCTGCGCTCCCCACAACCTCACTAACACCCCCTTCCCTCTCTCTGACCACAACCTGATCACCTTCTCTATCTCCTCGTCCTCCAACGCCTACCCCTCCAAATGTCACACTACTACCAGCCGTAACCTCCGCAACCTTAACCCTGCCCCCTCCACTCTGCAGCTGATCAACTCCACGACCGCATCCTCCCCCTGTCCTGCCCCGACTTGGCTATGACTGCCTACAACAACGTGCTGTCAGCAGCCCTTGACTCACTAGCGCCTTTAACCACACGCAACATCAGACTCCGACCGCTCCAGCCCTGGCAGACTGATCACACCAAAACCCTCAAACGACGCAGTCGTGCCCTGGAGCGACTATGGCGCAAAACAAAATCCCAACAAGCTTTCACCTGCTACAAATCTGCCTTCCACACCTACACCTCCTCCCTCCACGCAGCCAAACAAGCCTACTTTCTGACCCTCATCAAGGCCCTCTCCTCCAATCCTCGCCGACTCTTCTCCACCTTCAACTCTCTACTCTCTCCACCCCCACTTCCACCCAGCACCTCACTCACCGCCCTTGAGATTGCCAATCACTTCAAAAACAAGATTGACACAATTCGCAAGGACATTGCCGCAACTCACACGCCCTCTCAACCCGTCCCCTCTCACACAGCTACCCCCCTCATCCCCCCTCCCCCTCGACATTACCCGCAGGGACTTCGTCACTGCTCAAACTCCCTCCAACCCCGTTCCCCCTCACTCAGCTACCCCCTCATCACCCCTCTCCCACGGCCCCACCACTGCTCTGACCTCCACTCCCACCCCCACCCTACATTCCTCATACTGAAGCTCCCCCAACACTCCACACCTTTGACCTTACTACCATCGAGGAAGTCTCCAAGATCCTCTCTGATGCCCGCCTCACCACCTGCCCCCTCGACCCTATCCCCTCACAATTCCTACGACCTCCCTCCCCCTCCATCCTACGCTCCCTCACCCACATCTTTAATCTCTCCCTCTCCTCCGGCACTTTCCCCTCCCCTCTGAAAACATGCACACATCACCCCCCATACTTAAAAAGCCCTCCCTGGACCCCAATGACCCGAACAACCTCAGACCCATCTCCCTGCTCCCACTTACATCTAAACTCCTCGAGCGCCTCGTCTACACCCGCCTATGCTCTCACCTCAACGACAACAACCTCCTCGATCCCCTACAGTCTGGCTTCCGCCCCCTACACTCCACCGAAAACCGCCTTACTCAAACTCTCCAACGACCTTCTAACCGCCAAAGCTAATGGCCACTATTCAGTGCTCCTACTCCTTGACCTCTCTGCGGCCTTCGACACAGTTGACCACGCCCTCCTCCTCAAAATACTACACTCCCTCGGCCTCAGAGATTCTGCTCTCTCCTGGCTCTCATCCTACCTGTCACAACGCTCTTTCAGCGTTACCTATAATGCTACCACCTCCCCCTCACTCCCCCTCTCTGTTGGGGTCCCTCAAGGCTCTGTCCTTGGGCCCCTTCTCTTCTCCATCTACACCTCCTCCCTCGGCCAACTCATACACTCTCACGGCTTCAACTACCACCTCTATGCCGACGACACACAAATCTATCTCTCAACCCCCCACCTCACCCCCCTCGGTCTCTGCCCAAATCACACACCTACTGAGCGACATATCAGATTGGATGTCGCTCCACTTCCTTAAACTGAATCTCTCCAAAACCGAGCTCCTTGTCTTCCCCCAGCCCGGACACCACCCCCCATTGACTTCTACATCACATCCAACAACGCCAATATCAAACCCGCTCTGCAGGCCAGAGTACTTGGTGTCATTCTGGACTCCAACCTATCCTTCCAGCCCCAAGTCCAATCTTTAACAAACTCATGCAGACTCCACCTCCGCAACATCGCCAAAATCCGCACGTTCCTAACCCCAGAAACCACTAAACAGCTCATCCACTCCTTCATCATATCACGACTCGACTACTGCAACTCCCTCCTCACTGGCCTGCCTCGCCACTGGCTATCCCCGCTTCAGTCCATCCTGAATACGGCTGCCAGACTCATTCACCTTTCCAACCGCTCCGTTTCCGCCACCCCCCTCTGCCAATCCCTCCACTGGCTTCCGATTGCGCAACGGATCAAATTTAAAATCCTAACACTGACGTACAAAGCTGTCCACCATACTGCCCCGAACTACATCACTGACCTAATATCCAAGTACCACCCAACACGCACACTCCGCTCCTCACAAGACCTCCTTCTCTCTAGTTCCCTGGTCTCCTCCTCCCATGCCCGACTCCAGGACTTCTCCAGGGTGTCACCCATCCTCTGGAACTCCCTGCCCCAACCCATCAGATTATCACCTACTCTCCTCTCCTTTAGGCGCACCCTGAAAACCCATCTCTTCAGGGAAGCCTACCCCACCCCCTGCTAACTTGCCGACCTCCTCCACTCTTTCCTACCACTCCATCCCCCACAGCTATCTCCTCCTGTGCCACCATCCCCTCCCTCCTAGATTGTAAGCTCGAAAGAGCAGGGCCCTCGATCCCCTCATGTTTTGCATTTGTATTGGTATTGTTCTGTCACATGTTCTGTCCCCCTTTGTAATGTACAGCGCTGAGCGAACTATTGGCGCTTTATAAATACTGTATAATAATAAATAATAATAATGTATAATACATAAGGGGGGATATGATCTCCATGTATAATACATAAGGGGGGGATATGATCTCCATGTATAATACATAAGGGGGGGATATGATCTCCATGTATAATACATAAGGGGGGATATGATCTCCATGTATAATACATAAGGGGGGATTATGATCTCCATGTATAATACATAAGGGGGGATATGATCTCCATGTATAATACATAAGGGGGGATATGATCTCCATGTATAATACATAAGGGGGGATATGATCTCCATGTATAATACATAAGGGGGGATATGATCTCCATGTACAATACATAAAGGGGGATACATAAGGGGGGATATGATCTCCATGTATAAATACATAAGGGGGGATATGATCTCCATGTATAATACATAAGGGGGGATATGATCTCCATGTATAATACATAAGGGGGATATGATCTCCATGTATAATACATAAGGGGGGATATGATCTCGATGTATAATACATAAGGGGGATATGATCTCCATGTATAAAATACATAAGGGGGATATGATCACCATGTATAATACATAAGGGGGGATATGCTCTCCATGTATAATACATAAGGGGGGATATGATCTCCATGTATAATACATAAGGGGGGATATGGTCTCCATGTATAATACATAAGGGGGGGATATGATCTCCATGTATAATACATAAGGGGGATATGATCTCCATGTATAATACATAAGGGGGATATGGTCTCCATGTATAATACATAAGGGGGGGATATGATCTCCATGTATAAATACATCAGTGGTTCATATAGTGAACTCGGTGTAGAGTTATTCCCCCTGAGGTCATCACAGAGGACAAGGGGGCGCTCTTTACATCTGGAGGAAAAGAGATTTAATCTCCAAATACGGAAAGGGTTCTTCACAGTAAGTGATTACCTCCTGGGGGATCATGAAGGAACTTTTTCCCAGGCAGGAGCAAATTTGGATCAAGCTTTGCCGGGTGGTGGGGGGGGGGGTCCCTTCCTCTGGATCAATGGTTGGTATACGATTATAACTTTCTTTTTTTTGTTTGAACTGGGTGGACTTTTGTCTTTTTTCAGCCAGACTAACTATGTAACTATATGTGCTACCTAAAAATACACTGGACTACCTCTTTAAACTGCAACACAAATTTCACAAGAAACAAAACAACAATTATGCAGCACTGTGGTCACGAGCAACATCTGCAATTATCTTGTTTAATGAGTGGATCTGTCTGTGGTATGGGGGGTACACATGATTACAGGCTGTACAATACAGGACACGATCACAAGATTTGTATGCCACATACCTGGATGGATCTGGAGAAATGAGCCACCACGCCATACGTTCTGTTCCCCAACACATCAGTAAACACCAGGAAGTGGAAATAGTCATCTCTTGTTTCAGAGGTTACAGGTAGTCCTCCTATGGGGAGAATAGTAATTATAAAAACACTCTACTATTCAAAAACATTAGACTTTATAAAATGTAAAATATACAAAGCACAAAGTTACATTCTATGTCACATTTTGACAGCGAACTCTCCATTCAAGTGAATGTGGTCATGCTGCAACCACCGTGCAACAGTGTGCATTGCATGCAATTGCAGAACAGTGGAGCAGACTTAAAAGTATAAAGTATTCGATGAGATGCTGACATATCCCCTCCCAGCCGCCTGTCAGAAATCACTTTACAGAGGAGTGCCAAGGGCTGCCTTAAGTGTGAACAAGCTCCCAGAGCTGGGGTCCTGAGTGTAATGTATACATGTAGGATCGCAGAATAAGGCCCAGCTCCATGCTGTTACATGTATAGATATTGGCCGGCAGGAATAGGCTAAAGAGACCCACTTACAAGTTTTGTTTTACAAATGTAATGCTTTTTTTATGCAAACTATGGGTCCCTCTGATCAAATATTTTATTAAATGTATTGCAAGGTTAGAGGCAGGGGAAAAAATTAGAAAAATTGGAGTGCGTGAGGATTTCTCCATTTCCAGTAGCCATCTCCTCGTGCCCCTCATCTGAGGTTGATTCGTGCCCCCTCTCCATTCTGCAGAGCTCCTCGTGCCCCCTCCATTCCGCAGAGCCCTTTCCTATTCCGCAGAGCTCCTCGTGCCCCCTTTCCATCTCCATTCCATTCCGCAGAACTCCTCGTGCCCCTCCCCATTCCGCAGAACTCCTCGTGCTCCTCCCCTTCTGCAGACCTCCTCTTGCCCCCTCACCATTCTGCAGACCTCCTTATGCCCCTTCTCCATTCTTCAGACCTCCTCATGCCCCTTCTCCATTCTGCAGACTTCTCATGTGGCACCTCTCTATTCTGCAGACTTCCTCATGGCACCTCTCCATTCTGCAGACCTCCTCGTGGCACCTCTCCATTCTGCAGACCTGCTCGTGGCACCTCTCCATTCTGCAGACCTCCTCATGGCACTTCTCCATTATGCAGACCTCCTCACGGCCCCTATTCCTTCTGAATGGCCTCCTCACGGCACTTCTCCATTCTGCAGACCTCCTCGTGCCCTGTCTCCATTCTGCAGACCTCCTCACGGCACCTATTCCTTCTGTGGCCTCCTCATGGCACTTCTCCATTCTGCAGACCTCCTGCGCCCTGTCTCCCATTCTGCAGTGCCTCCTCACGTCTCCATTCTGCAGACCTCCTCGTGCCCTGTCTCCATTCTGCAGACCTCCTCACGGCACCTATTCCTTCTGCAGGCCTCCTCATGGCACTTCTCCATTCTGCAGACCTCCTCGCGCCCTGTCTCCATTCTGCAGACCTCCTCACGGCACCTCTCCATTCTGCAGACCTCCTCACGCCCTGTCTCTATTCTTCTGAAGACCTCCTCCATTCTGCAGACCTTGTTCCCCCTTCTTCATTCTGCAGACCTCCTCATGCCCCTTTCTCCATTTTGCAGACCACCTCGTGGCACCGCTCCATTATGCGGACCTCCTCGTGCCCCTTTTTCCATTCTGAAGACCTCCTTGTGCCCCTCTCCATTCTGCAGACCTCCTTGTGCCCCTCCATTCTGCAACCTTTCTTGCTGTGCTGTTCTGTTCCTCCTCTACTCCCTCGAGAGAGACTAATGTAGTAGCTGTCAGCTTGTGTTTCTGCTGGTTGTTTTTGTGAATGTTAACACTCCTCCCAGCCATCATCAATCACAAAACAAGCTGCCAGTTACTATAGTAGTAATCTTCAAACTAGATGGTGGCTACGGCAGGTTTTCATTCAGACTTATCAGTACAAAGGGAGCAGAGGGAACACAGGGCTGGACGACAAGAAGAGCTGGAGATGTTCTGCTGGAAGCTTAGAAGGAAGTGGGGGCTGTGTATGCTTTGTGTCTACCAAGCCCCCTCTCCTCCTGTGCTGTCAGTTAATAGTAATGAAGTATTTGTTTCCTTGCTCAAGCTTGGTCAGACAACAGTGGGGGGAGCTATCTGACCCCACTGCACCCCAACCACTGCACATATTTGAACGGTAACAAGTGCTTTGTGCACTGGGATTTAAAGGGTTGGTTCTCCTTTTCACAAAAAATGCAAAAGGTGGACTAACTCACCTCAACACCAATACCCGCTGCACTTCTCTCCTTCCTTGATCAGCTTCTGTTGTCCATGCAGCCAACGTAGCAGTCTAAGTATCTAGAAAATGCAATACAGAGTCTGGAGGCTGTGCAGAATCATCGTCAAGAGCTTCATTGGTCAGCACCAACATGTGACCGCGCTGACCAATGAGAATCTCTCCAAACCATCCCAGAAGAAAGAAGAGTGTAGAAGAGCGCATTTTTTTAAATACCCAGACTGCAATATCAGCTAGCCCAGGGAGTGAAAGATAATCATCCAAGTAGGTAAGTGCAGGAGGGACTGGGGATGCAGGGAGGGTGTTGTGAGTTCGTTCATCTTGTCGTGTTTTCTATAAAAGTGAACTAACCCTTTAAATCTTCATATAACAAACTTTCATGATAATGTTCTGTTCAGGGTACCTGGAAAGCACAGCTGTGGCAATCCTATAAGATCAATGTCTTTGGGTACACTGATCTCCTCTGTGGTGGTCTCTCTCCCACCGTTAGCGGAGCCCACCTCAGACTTGGGTTTTTCCTTTTTCTTGCGGAAGGAACGCCGCTTGGGAAGTCTCTGGAAGTTGCTCTGAGCAGATGCTGCCGTTTCATCTTTGGGTATGAAAGGAGGAACGAAGACAGAGGTAATCTCCGGCTCCAGGGATTGCACATCACGTATTCCTTTCTGTGTGACCTGAGGGCGAGAGAAGCATAGAATATTATGGCAAGTTGTAGAAGATAGAAAAGGCCCTTTTGGCCAAACCATTCATTTTAACAGTTATCAAACAGAAATAACAAATTGAAAAAGTGAAATATATAATAACAGCAATAATAAGAAGAATGTTATTATAAAAATAAAAAAAGATTATATGTGTATTTATTTTTTTTTTTATATTTGTAAAAGTCTCCCTTGTGTAGACACCCAAAATCCCTGAGACTGCTACTGAACACCATTTTGGATGTGATGTCAGCAGACTCAGAGCTATCACTTAAGTGACCCTCTAGAGCAGTGGTCTCCAAATTAAGGCCTGTTGGCCAGATGTGGCCCTTCGCTTGCTTTAACCTAGCCCTTGGGACACTGTTTTTCCCACTAATACAAGTCACTATTCTTCACACTAGCACCAACAGTGAGGCACGATTTCTCCAACAGAAACTAAAGATGAGGCACAGTTCCTCCCACTGACACACAAACAATGGGGCACTATTCCTCCCACTAATATCAATGATGGGGCACTATTCCTCCCACTGACACCAATGATGGGGCACTATTCCTCCCAATAATACCAATGATGGGGCACTATTCCTCCCACTGACACCAATGATGGGGCACTATTCCTCCCACTGACATCAATGATGGGGCACTATTCCCCCACTGACACCAATGATGGGGCACTATTCCTCCCACTGACACAATGATGGGGCACTATTCCTCCCACTGATACCAATGATGGGGCACTATTCCTCCCACTGATACCAATGATGGGGCACTATTCCTCCCACTGATCAACGATGGGAACACTATTCCTCCCACTGATACCAATGATGGGGCACTATTCCTCCCACTGACACCAATGATGGGGCACTATTCCTCCCACTGATACCAATGATGGGGCACTATTCCTCTCACTAATATCAATGATGGGGCACTATTCCTCCCACTAATACAATGATGGGGCACTATTCCTCCCAATAATGACACCAATGATGGGGCACTATTCCTCCCACTAATACCAATGATGGGGTCACTATTCCTCCCACTGACACCAATGATGGGGCACTATTCCTCCCACTGACACCAATGATGGGGCACTATTCCTCCCACTGAATACCAATGATGGAGCACTATTACTTCCCACACTGATACCAATGATGGGGCACTATTCCTCCCACTGACACCAATGATGGGGCACTATTCCCGCCACTGATACCAATGATGGGGCACTATTCCTCCCACTGACACCAATGATGGAGCACTATTCCTCCCACTGACACAAACAATGGGGCACTATTCCTTCCACTGATACCAATGAAGGGGCACTATTCCTCCCACTGATACCAATGATGGGGCACTATTCCTCCCACTAACCCCCAATGATGGGGCTCTATTCCTCCCACTAATACCAACGATGGGGCATTATTCCTCCCCACTGACACCAACAATGGGACACTATTCCTCCCAATGACACCAATGATGGGGCACTATTCCTCCCCCTGACTCCAACAATGGGGCGCTATTCCTCCCACTGATACCACAATGGGGCACTATTCCTCCCACAGATACCAATCCTATTCCTCCCACTGACACCAATGATGGGGCACTATTCCTCCCACTGACACAAACAATGGGGCATATTCCTGCCAATAACACCAATGATGGGCACTATTCCTCCCACAGACACCAATGATGGGACACTATTCCTCCCACAGACACCAATGATGGGACACTATTCCTCGCACTAACACCAACAAAGAGAATCTATTCTGCTCTAGACTGCTGGGTGTAAAATTGTGAGCTAAAAGGGGGCCTAAAATGCAGCCCCTGACATCACCAAAGGGATGCACATAATATTCAATATATGTAATGCTTGAGAGATACTGCAGCCCTGTGGACATGCTACGTTTTTGGCTGAGGATATACAGCAGAAGACGATATGAAACTGGGAACATTTTACATGAGGCTAGTATAGATCAATCCTATTACCCTAATCAATGTTCCCACTACAGACTGCTGAGGGCCGCACATTATATACCAAAGGGCCTTATGTGGCCTTCTGGCTACAAGTGGGGCACCAGAGCTCTAAAACATTTCCCTTCACTCCTCCCCTGAAAAAAATGTTATGTAGGGAAGTGGAGGGGTATAGTAGCTGGGCCAGCACAGACAGTAATAAGAAACTCCCAGAAGAGCAGAGAGTTATGATGTGCAAGGAGGAAGAGGCAGGGAAGGCAAAATATAAACAGATTACATTTTTTAAAGACAGCTAAATTTAAGATGGTTATGATATTCGTGGAATCACAGCAATCCTTACATGTAAACCTGTTCATCCAAGATTATCTGGAAACAGCAATTTCTGAGCAGTTTGTATACAGAGAAAAAAAATATTGGATCCTATATGTGGCTGCATGTACAAGGGGGAAGGAAAAGTTAAGAAAATCCATTATTTTGTCCAATCACAGCAAAGCAATAGGTTCTGCTGATAGCGCTCCAACTGGTAGGAGGAGGTAAGTGTCAGTAAGGAGGGAGACCACGGGTATGTCACTCTGTGTCGAGGAATACACAGGGTTAATGACCTTCCCACCATCCATATATGACAGTATTCAGGCCTGGCGATCGGCTATTCAGGACACAGTGATGAGTAGAGGTCAGCAGGGGGAGCTGCACATACCCAGAAGATCGACACTCCTGGAAGTGTCAGATTCACAGCACATGACCATCTCTCTGAAATGGGGCCGCATTCAGCCAACTGTGGGAAAGGAAAGTTTGTACTCTTCTCCTTCCGCAAGAACTCTGGAGAGTTTTACACACTTTTTTTTTTTTTAGCAGTCACTTGAACGCACCGCCTCATTCACACCCCTCTCAGTCTCAGCAAGGGGGGTGTTTTATTATTCGGGTGACATTTATTACGTCATGTACGCTGCAGGATAGGTATCACCCTCTGATTGGCTGAAGCACTGACTGGGTAGAAGCTGCAAACCATATCTGGTGATGGTAATTGCTGGGTTAGAATGTCAGCAATAAATGTGGATTTTTTTATCTCCCCATCAGAGAATGTATTAAGACCACCCCTGATATAAGTGGGGCTGGCGTGGGGCTACAGTAGTATATGTGGTCTTCCACCTCCATCCACACTGACACAGGATATACAGACAGGAAAGGTTAAAGACGGTCAAGAGCAGAGCCGAACTACTTAGAATTCAGCGAATATATCTTCCCCTTTTCCACGGTCATGTGTAGAACTATTCTAACACCACAAAGATCCACATCTAGAAAACGGCAAAATAGCTTGCAATTAGAACTGGCTGTGTTTCCACATCCAAGCAGCAATCAGATTCAGTCCTGGAAACCGATGAGGAAGAAACGCTTGACTCTAAATAGTGACAATACGGCGACTCAAAGATCGCTTACTTCACAATCAGAAAACAAGTCAAACAGCCATTTATTTTTGTTTGTTTTAGAGCCGGAAAAAGTAAAAACCTCGAAGTCGCTGCAACTTTTAAAAAGGTTCTTGGACTACTTTGATGCGACATCTATGAGTCCCATAGACTCTAATGTCACATGAGAGTTGCAAGCAAGAGACACTGGAAATTGCAGCGGTGTGAACCAAGGTTTAATCCTCACCAGGGTGGATAAAAATCAATGATTTTTTTTAAAAAAAATATAAAAAAAATCTGATTTGTTTGATTTAAATCGGATTTTTTTTATTTAAATCGGATTTTTTTTTAAATAAAATGCTTTTTGAGGAAAATATATTACCATCCAAAGGTTATTCCATCATGAAATAAAGATTTGTTTTTTAATTATGTAGAATAAGGCTGTATGTGTTTAATTTGTTTGGTAAATAAATTCCATGAATCCATTCACAATGTCAGGCTCTTCCAGAGGTTTCTGTAAGATTATTGGGCAGTTTCTCTGCCTACAAGATATTATCACAGATGTTCGGTTTACTTTTGCAGTTCTCAAAACTGAATTTGACTCAGCGGAGATCACAGGCCTCTTCTTCACAGCAAAAATGTTTATAACATGAACAGAGTTAAGAAAAAGACCTTCATCCTAACTTCTACAAACCTATGAATACAGAATCAACCCCTTCAGGGCTAAGCTTCAAGAAGTTCAGTGAATAGAATAGAAACAATATTTTTCTGATTGTTTGGAGTGGAATAGATCTGCACAAGAAGAAAGTGAAACTAAGTGTGAGGAGGAGGGGCTGACAGTCTACGTTTCTTAAAAATATATATATTTGTTTAGCCAAATTAGTTACCAAACAGGAATGTTTAAGCAAATCACATCTGCTGGAATGTTATTGTTTCAGGTGAATAAATCTATTTAAATTGTTATTATTAAGGTAATGATTATTTTTCTCCTTCCTAAGTACAACAGAAAAGTTGTCCAAATATGAATGATTAACCTATTAAACTGGGGATAAAAAAACTAATATGAAAAGTTGTTATTCTAAAAATCTTCATCTACTTGTATATTAAAGTTATACCAGCAAGAATTAGTCATTATGTAGAAAACTAGGATTTACATCAAGCCTTACTGACTAGTGATATAAATCGTGATTTAAATCAAATCCACCCTGATCCTCACAGATCTTTATTATATACAAAATAATAAAATGTTAGACAGCATAAAAAAATAAAATGCCAACAAATTACCGTAACAGTGGTCCAGGTCAACGCATTTCGCAGTTAAGCACAGAGGTATTTTATATGCACTGGTCAAATAAATGAAAGGAAGACTGAAAATGCATCAGATCTCAATGGGGAAGAATCTCCTGCTGGATCTCTATACTGACATGGACGGGGTGATGTGTTAGGAATGTAAGGACGCCCCATCTTTGATGGAAATGAAAATGATTGACCTACAGAGGACTGAATTCAAAGACACCCCGAAAATCAAAGTGAAAAAATGA